AATTTGGATATCTTGGGTCTTGAGGAATTTGCGCAGAAATGCTGGGATCAACCGGATCCACTGGAGAATGATTCTTCTGAGGTTTCGATTTGGGATTCTCAGCTTGCTGTTTGGCATGCTGTTGCTGAGAAAACCTTGCATTCCGCGGTTTCTCGCGGCTTGTGTGCCTTGACCCGTCCTGCTGAACGACCCAAAGGGTCGTTTCCTTCTACTAAGCCTTTCGTGGCCAGTTCTGTGTCCAAGGCGGCTGACACCATTCCGCTTCGTCGTTGCAAGCGTTTGCATCGCGCTGCCGCTGAGCAGCTGCGTCGTGGTCATGCAGGTGGTTTGACACCGACTCAGCTCCGTCATTGGTGTGCTGCTTTATCCTCTCGCTTGGTCCCGCATTGCATTACCCGCCTACCTTGTGATCAAGCCGATGCCATTAATCTCGCTAATAGTGCCATTGCTGCCCTGATCAATGAACAGAATAAGCAATCTAAGGAGTCTTGGAGCCAGAAGTTTCGTTCTTGGCAAATTGATTCTATTAAGGCCACTAAACCTGTCTTGTGTCCTAGTGCTGCCCCGTCGCCTGCATCCGCTGATGAGCTTTTGGAAGCGTGGTCACCGCAGCTGATCCACTCTGATCCGGTGGACAGGAGCAGTAATTGGGTTCGTGTTGCCTCTGATGTGGGTCTCCAAGTTGCTTCACCTGGTGCGTGTGACGTGCCCTTTGAGCCGTTCTGCAGTGCCCTTGCGCTCTCCAAAGGGGCTCTTGGCCTTGACGGTTGGACAACCACTGAAGTTCGATTTCTAACTGTTGCGTGTCCCTGGCTTGTTCGTCGGCTCTTTACCATTTTGTGTTCCTTGGTGTCTTGCGCCGGGAATCTTACTCAAGCTGACGTCACTGGTGATTCCTATAGTGCTTTGCAGTCTTTCTTTACTTGGCGCCTGGCTGCTGTTCCCAAGCGTGATAGTGAGGATTCTCGGCCTGTTGCAGTTGGATCTGTCTTACTTCGTGCCTTTCACAAGGTCTTATTACAGTTTCTGCCTCTGGTCCCGGATGGCCAATGGGGAGGCCGCAAAGGGGTTGGGGTGGTTCACGCCACCATTAGTTGGCTTTCTCATCCTGGTACCGTTGGCACAGAGCTTGATCTATCCAAAGCTTTCGACCTCGTCCATTGGGATGTTGCAAAGACCGCCTTATCCAAAGTTACGACTAAACTGTAGAGAGTGTGGCAAGAATTAATAGAACACACAACAGCATTTTTCTTACATGAACTGTTTCATCATTGATTTTGTTTAAAATTGATTACTGTATTAATTGTTTATTATCCCGGTCACCTTTCTGCTTATAGAATGGGAGGGGTCAACCCCTCCTAGAAAACGATTTATAGATACCAGGAGGTAGGAGAATAGGAGGGGTTGCCGCTGCCCATGTTACAGAGAAAACCGGCTGGTTGTTGAGTGTGTGTGTACATGTTTTTGTTTAGTTTTTGTGAGTGAATGTGAACTAGACTCATCCGCTCTTGGTCGAAAGCTTTTGGCAGGGGCCTTTCTGTGTCGTCTGCTCCTAGCGTGTGTGCTCGTCAGTGGCCACAGTGCTGTGTTGCTTCTGTCTATGGCCCTGCAGGCCAGCCCAATGTCACCTGGTTTGCTCAGTCTTATGTTGCCTTTCGAGTCTTTGGGCGTGCCTTCTTTCTTGATTGGTGACTTTAATTGGCGTCCTTGCTACTGTACGTACGACAACGCAATTGGTGTTCATTTGAGCCTGTTGTTGGTTCTAAAGGGCGTCCCACCCGTGCTGTGTGGCCACAGAAGTGGTTATTTTCTAGTAAGCCTGAGACCGTTCTTGCCTTCCCTGGAATTCCGCACCACTGCCACAACTTCCTATTCTGATGACTTCCAACCAGTCTATCCACCGTGTTCGTCGTTGTGCTGAATTCTCGCCTGCACGCCAACCTTCTAAGTTGGATGTCTTAGGTCTTGAGGAGTTTGCTCAGAAAAGCTGGGATCAACCGGATCCCCTGAAGAATGATTGTTGTAATGCCTCTGCATTGGATTCTCAGCTTGCAGCGAGGCCTGCTGTTGCTGTGAAAACTTTGCATTCCGTGGTTTCTCGTGGCTTGTGTGCCTTGACTCGTGCTGCTGAGAGATCTAACGGTTCGCTTCCTTCAACAAAGCCTTTCGTGGCTAGCTCTGTGTCCAAGGCGGCTCACACCCTTCCGCTTCGTCGTTGCAAGCGTTTGCATCGCGCTGCCACTGAGCAGCTTCGTCGTGGTCATGCAGGAGATCTGAGGCCGAGTCAGCAACGTCATTGGTGTGCTGCCTTGTCCTCTCGCCTTGTCCCGCAGTGTGTACACTGCATACCTTGCGATCAAGCCGATGCCATTAATCTCGCTAATAGTGCCATTGCTGCCCTGTTAAAGGAACTTGATAAGCAGTCCAAGGAGTCTCGGAGCCAGAAGTTTCGTTCTTGGCAGACTGATTCCATTAAGACCACTAAAGCAGCGTGGTCACCGCAGCTGGTTCATTCTGATCCGGTGGACAGGAGCAGTAATTGGGTTCGTGTTGCCTCTGACGTTGGTCTCCAAGTTGCATCTCCTTGCGTGCGCGAAGTGCCCTATGAACCGTTTTGCAGTGCCCTTGCAGTCCAAAGGGGCTCCTGGCCTTGACGGTTGGTCCTCCACTGAAGTTCGCTTTCTAGCAGTTGCTTGTCCCTGGCTTGTGTGCCATCTTTTTGCCATCCTGTGTTCTTTGGTGTCCCGCCGGGAAACTGATTCAAGCTGACATAGCTGGTGTTTCACTATAGTGCTTTGCAGTCTTTCGTTACTTGGCGCTTGGCTGCAGTTCCCGAGCGGGATAGTGAGGATTCTCGGCCTGTTGCCGTTGGATCTGTCTTGCTTCGTGCTTTTCACAAGGTCTTGTTGTAGTTTCTGCCCCAGGTCCCGGATGGCCAATTGGGAGGCCGCAGAGGGGTCGGTGTGGTTCACGCCGCAATCAGTTGGCTTTCTCATCCTGGTTCCGTTGGCGCCGAGTTGGATCTTTCAAAGGCATTCGACCTCATAAATTGGAACGTTGCAAAAACCGCCTTTTGCTGGGCGGGGGCTCCTGCTGCTATTGTGAACTTGATTGCCCTGGGATGGCATGAACTTTTTTTTCGGTTTGGCTGCATGTCTTTCTCGTTCCTGGATTCCGACGCGTTCGGATTCCTCAAGGTGATCCTTGCTCACCTTGTGTCCTTGCAAACGTGTTACGCCCCGTGGCACGACTTGCTTCGTGTGCATCATCTCTCTCCGCACGTGGGCATATGTTGATGACCGTTCTCTCCGGCGCCCTGTTTCTGAACCTTTTGTAAGTGCCATCTGCGAGCTTGGCCTGCTGGTGATGGCGTCAGCACATTTGTTGAGCATCTTGCTCCCTCCGTCGATCCTCTGTCTGGTGAGATACCATGTCTCCGCAACGGATGGGCTCCTGATACTTGATGTCTCTGCTGGCACGCCTGCCAGGGTGCCTACCTACTCGTGAAGCGGCCGTTCGAATTTTCTTCAAAGGTAAATGGTTTTGTGCCCCTCCGTTTCTGTGTTTTGGGCAGACCGCGTTGATTTCAGTAGTGCTGTGGGTAGTGGTATGTTTTGCCTTCGATTTCAAGAGCCGCCTTCTGATTATTGCCCGTGGCTACTGATCGCGATCTTGACCAGCCAAATCAGCAACTCGCCTCTTGGGATGCTTATCGGGTGACCGTTCGTCTTCGCTCTGTTGGGGATGGCCTTACTCGAGTCCTTGAACCCTATTCCACTTGGTCTGACAATGGTTGGACTTTTACAGTTGACCGGCGCTGCCAATATCAAATGTTTGCTTTCTGTCGAAGGCATCGCTGATGTCGACATTAACGCTGTAGCTTTTATATAAGACTTGGCGAGATTGGAAAGCAAATCTTGAACCGCCTACTAAGAAAAAGCTTTTACTCTCCATGTTTCGAGGTGGTGCGGCCACTTCCCCGACACGTCGCGCTAACATGCGCCCACTGAAGTTGGTCTCACTAATCTGACATCATGGTGTTTCGTTTTGTGCACTGCCGTCTTTCTTTACGTGGCGCTTTGTAGCTATCTGTCCCTGAGCAGGATATAGCGCAGATTCTCGCCCCGTCGCCGTCGGTTCTGTTTTGCTTCGCGCTTTCCACAAAAAGTCTTGCTGCAGTTTCTTCCCCAGCCCCAGGACGGCCAATGATGGGGCCGTTGGCGTTGTTCACGCCACCATCAGTTGGCCTCACCCTCCCTCCATGGGAACTTTCAAAGGCTCTGCCTTGTCGTGGGCTTCGCTTGGACGCTTATCGATCATTGTCTTCTCGAGCTCTCAAGCCCCGAGACCCTTGTAGGTGCTTTCCAGACGGTGCCAGCACAGTTGTTGAGCATCTTACTGTACTCTCTCCGTCGATCCTATTATTATCAGATGTCGTCGCAATGGCTGGGCTCCTTCGCTTGAAGCTTTGCCTTTGCTGGCACGGCTGCTAACTCGTGAAGCTTCAGCTCGGACTTTCTTTAATGTAGGTGAAGGGTTGTAGGCTCTATTCAGTCACTTCTACAGGCTCCTCTTGGACTTTGACTCATCTCTTCGCTTCCTCCGGGAAGGAGCGTGGAGAGTTGCAACCGTTTCAGAGATTTTAGTGTAGCTGCCTTGGTAGCTAGCTTGACCACGTGCTGGACAGCCAGTGCAACGCTTTTCCCGGGACAAACAACCTTCACAATTTACACTGATGTCATTTTAGAAAAATGTTCGACATTTTGTGTCGAAAAGACCGACATGACCGCACATAATCTGGATTCCCTCTCAGGAACACGCAGGCCCCCTCCGCTCACCTTCACCGTCCTGGAATGGTGTCGGCGGATTTGTTGGTGTGTTTTTCGCAATAATACAATGTACAATACCAAATAGCGTATTTATGTTTTGTCAATGTAATTTGTTTTATGTTATATTAATTTTAGCTTGTTTGGCTTAATAAGTTGGTTGTTGGTGTCGACATGTGTTGTTCTGGATACTTTAGGCATCCATTTGCTACCAACAAAACATGTCCAATACTTCGACCGCAGGGTGGTGTGCAGATTGGAAATGCGTGCTGGGAGCTCTTTTGCTTGGAGCACGGCATCCAACCTGATGGCCAGATGCCTTCCGATAAGACGATCGGGGGCGGAGATGACGCATTCAACACGTTGCCTGGCCGATCTGGTGTTTGAATGTTCCCACGCCAAGGTTGGGCTTAGTAAGGTGGAACCAGAGTTTTCATGGGTTTGCAGATGAACCAGTCCCAACAAACACACTGCCGCACCAGTGCAAGGAGACACAACAAGGACATTTTTTGTTTTCAAATGATCCTTTGTGCGCACTCATTTTGCGCAGGAAATGCTTTGGGGGCCGATGAACTTGGATCCTGCACGCCCAACACCCAACCTTTGATCAGTGCGACCATAACAAAACCATCGTTTTCGTCGCAGGTCCCTGACAACGTTCACGCACTTGTTTGCAACAACAGCAACGTTTGGTTTTCTGAGGCAGCGGTGTGACAGACAAGTTAAACTCACAATACAACAAATATAATGGGGCACCCGGGGTGCATGACCCGTACTGTAGCATGATGAAACCTGGAAATGTGTGTCTTCACGTGCTTGTCATGTGTTTGTCATGATTGTGGTTGTGGTTGTGGTTGTTGTTGTTGTTTTGGACCTTGGTACACTACTTGTTTCAGGTTCTTCTCAGAAACTGGTGCAGGGAAGCACGTATCTTGGCAGCCAGGGTTTTGCAGATGTTGCAACCTTGATATTGAAACCAACAATTTTATGTTATTCTGCTTCATTCTGGTTTTCATTCTGGTGCAAGAGTCGCGTTATTTTTTTTCGTATGTTTTTGTGTGTTTTTTGTTCATTGCATATTCTTGGTGTCATCCCATCGTTGCCAGCTCACTCGGGGGAACCGTGAGGTACCTCGCTGCGTGATGGTTGACCTCGAACCGACAGCAACCAGATCATCATGAAATCAACTCTTTCGGGTGATTTTTTGAGAGCATGTGTTAGTTTTCTCTATAGTTGTTTTGTGCATGTTCTGAGTTTGGTTCTATTGTTTGTCGTAGTTATTAGTTATTAGTTTTTATCGTTTCTTGTGTTGCAATCCCAAGAGTTGTTGGTTGTTTGTCGTGGCAGTGGGCAGGTTGTGGATGAAGTACGCACCGGCACTTATCGTCAGCTCTTCCATCCTGAGCAATTGATTTCCGGCAAGGAAGATGCTGCAAACAATTTCGCTCGTGGCCATTATACCATTGGCAAGGAGATTGTCGCCTAGATGAAAGGGTGCTGGATGTTTGTTTGGTTTGTTTACACAGTCTTGCCGATTTTGCTTTACACATATACCCATTTGTTTGAGAACTTAATTCAGCAAGAATGGCTATAACACGCTTCAGGTGGACCTGGTGCTGGATCGCATTCGAAAGCTTGCTGACAATTGTACAGGCGTCTCATCAGCATTGAACAAACTAATACTCGATCATTCAGACAAACATGACCGCTGTGTAGTGGTTTGGGTTTGGAGTTTAGTGGTTTGGAGTAGCATTCCATTTTGGTGCTCAGTGTTCAACAGAGAAAATAAACATCGTCCAACCAAGGATTGCAAGGATTCTGCGTCTACAATGCTTGTGGAGGTGGTACTGGATCAGGCTTGGGCTGCCTGATGTTGGAGCGCTTGTCTGTTGACTACGGCAAGAAGAGCAAGATTTCTTTCACAGCTGCTGGCTTAAATTTTGGAATCACAGCACTTGTCGATTTGGCAGGGTGTGTGGATTTCAGACAGCGAGATGTATTGCAGCAAGCAAACATCCCTTCCCTTGATTCCATTGCTTACACGGCACCGTCAGTTATAGCATGTTGACACTCAAGCAGGAGGCTTGTGTGAACTAGGTTGGGAACATGAATCTGTAGCCCATCTGATGTTGAAGAAGTCTCACTGGCAACCCTGCGACTCTGCCGCTAATTCATGTGTTTGACAGTGTAAAGCAGAGGCATAGCGCGGCCCAGTGGACACACGTTGTATCCGACCCCCTCAAGTCCTAAAGCGAACGGGGCCTCGCCGGTCGGTCCGACTCAGGTTTGGTGTTGCCCGCAAGTCGCCACAGCTGTGGTGGAGCCCTACAATACCGTGCTGTTTCTCGGTTGAGAAGTCTTCTCCCAATGCGGAGCTGAGCCGTTGATTTGCAAAACTGATAGTACTATCACTACAAAGGATTCAGATAAGCAGACGCACACACACACACAAGTACGTGATGCCAGTCAAAGCAAAGGTCACCATCGACTTGACATGAAAAGTTGCTGAGGTGTGTCCACTCCTTGTTGGAACACACGGATGTGACCATCATGTATGCAACTTGTCTTCATTGTTTGCTGACTCGACCATTGTTTTGTCATTTTCTGTTGCTTGCTTGGTTCATTTGGTTCGCAGTTGGGATGAGTTGGGGTGAATCCATCCAGTAGCATCGCCTGGCGGAAAACACGGCCTCACTGCCTCGAGGACAACGAGGCGCTCTACGATATTTGTCGCAGGAACCTCGACATCGAGCGTCCAACCTACACGAACCTCAACCGCTTGATTGCCCAGATCATCTCCAGCTTGAACCTCGGATCAGCCCAAAAGACGTGTGGATTCTATTATTTTTTTGAGTTGGGGGGTAGATATATATTATATATATAACATATATACAAGCTTTGCTCACTGCATGTGTCAACCCTCAAATTGACGGTTCAGTTATGATGTTTCTCTCCATGAGTGGAACAACCTGTCAAGGGTTTCTATCCTCAACTTATACAACTATGTCTTGCATTGTTTTTCTCCAGTCCTGTGTCTTTCAGGACGGCTTCACTCCGTTTTGATGGCGCTCTCAACGTCGACATCACGGAGTTCCAGACCAATTTGGTTCCTTACCCCAGGATCCACTTCATGCTCACCTCCTACGCTCCAGTCATCTCTGCCGAGAAGGCCTACCACGAGCAGCTGTCCGTGGCGGAGATCACCATGTCAGTGTTCGAACCAGCCTCTATGATGGTGAAATGCGACCCTCGTCATGGCAAGTACATGGCCTGCTGCATGATGTACCGTGGATTCTTGGCGTGCAAGGCATCGTAGGACGGCTTTGGATGTGTCTCCGACCAGACCAAGAAAGGTGCCGGCATGTCTCGAAAAGGTCACTCAAGTTGTTTCAACTGGTTTGCATCACCGGGACAATGTTGATGGATATCAATACCGTCAATACCCTTTTTGCGGGGTTGTCTGGTCGTCAAGGCACGTGGCTGGCCAGCCCCAAGCTGGCCAATTGCAAGGTCCAACCTTTGGGCAGGAGTCTTTGGGCCTTCGTGTGTGTGGATGCTTCGCGCGTTTTACGGATGCCCTTTGTGTCACCTGCCTGAACCAAGGAGATGTGGTGCCGAAGGATGTGAACGCAGCGGTGGCCACCATCAAGACCAAGCGCACCATCCAGTTCGTGGACTGGTGCCCCACTGGCTTCAAGTGCGGCATCAACTACCAACCACCTACTGTGGTGCCTGGCGGAGACTTGGCCAAGGTCATGCGTGCTTGCTGCATGATCTCCAACTCTACTGCATCTTGGCAGCTGAACATGCGCATTAGTATCTCTTCATGTTGCCTGGCAGTTTGTGCAGCTTTTTTACACTGTAGAGAGAGGAATACTAGGAAAACAACAATAGACCGGTTTCGTCCGTTTTCATGTGTTTTCACACAAACTTGCTGCTGCTAGGGGGTGTCCTTTTTTTTGGCAGTTGACGTGTTTCTAACTTCAGCACAAAGTTTCAGTTTGCTACTAGTACTTCATACTGAGGCCATTGCCGAAGTCTTCTCCCGCATTGACCACAAGTTTGACTTGATGCACCTCGGCTGTTTCTCCATGCCTTTTGCAAAATTCGCTGGACTCCCAACCAATCGTTGTGAACCAGGTTTTTCTACCAGTGCCATTTAGTCTGTGGATGTCTTCAGAACTGTTTCTGGAAGTCTCTTGCTGATCGGTTAATTACTTACTGTACATAGAATGGTCAAGAGCTAGATGGAAAACCCTGAATGACAATCCCTTAGATTTGGTCCTCAAAGCCGTTGGCTACATGCGATACATGCGTCCGTTGGTCTTTTTCCAGATGTAACTGCACCTCGGCGCACCTCGCCGGCCTTGGGGGGTTCACCAGTCCGAACACCACAAGCGTCCAAATGTTCTCAGTGTGGAGTGAGGGTAGGACGTGTGACAGTGACCCAAGGGGGCCTCATGTTTGGATATGACTGGCAGGACAAAAGTGCCACTTTTTGACACTTGGAACTAGGATGATGGTCCGTGCACAACAGCAAACTTTCCTAACCCCCAACATCAAAGATGCTTGGGGAATCGCAAGAGATCGGAAAAAACCACATCGAAGTGCTTCGATGGGTCCGTCAGCGGCCTGTAGGATTGTTGATTAAGCCCGAGAATCGATCATGAGATGTGGTTCTTTTTCTCTGGGGGAGCACTTGTTCGGGGCTGGAAAGGCTGAGCTGCCCCGGCATTTGGAACACTCTCAAGACAGCTCAGAAGTAGCTATCCTTGGACATTCAGACATTTAGTAAGCAGAAGTAGCCAGCTATCACTTTGTGTGCGATGATACATATTTACACATGTAAACTCTGGCTCCACGCTCATATCCTCCTCACCTGCTATCTTAGCAGCTCATGTCCTCCTCACTCCGACCTCCAAACAAGATCAAATGTAGTGTTATTGTTATGGTTTGGCATGCTTTTGCGATGTTTGCCAGGTACTCCAAGCGCGCCTTCGTGCATCACTACGTGGGCGAAGGCATGGAGGAGGGCGAATTCTCCGAAGCTCGTGAAGACTTGGCAGCTTTGGAGACGCCCGGCGGCCTTGATTTTGATCGGAAGTCCAAATCAAATGTGTTGCTTTCTGAAACCGGAGTCCCTGATAGAAGAAAGAGAACGGCATATGTCGGTTGGCAAGAGGGTCCGTTTAACATGTGACGTGCTGTAGTTTCATGTACCACTTGTTACAGATGCACGTATATACTATATACTATACGGATGATTATAATTGTTTGTTGTAGTGTGACATCTTCCTTAGCTGTTTCATTTCCTCGCTCGCTCGAGGAAAGACTACGAGGAGGTCGGTATTGAAACAGCCGAGGGCCACCGGGACTTGCAGCTCCGCTCCGACGGCGGTCGTAGCCGTAGCCGACGGGAGCCGGTTCTTCTCTCCAGAGATCTCAGAAATGGCTCCTCAACCGACTGTTGTACCACTAGATGCTGGGTAGTGTGAGGAAGATCGTTGGTCACTTGTTTGGGAGTGGTGGCGGCGCACAAAGTACTGTAGTTGATCTAGATGCTTGGAAATGTCTTGCTATGTACCTTGTGACCATTCAAGGTGATCTTGCAGGTTTAAGATTCTTGTGCTACAAGAGAGTTGGGTTTTTGGTGGTTTGCACCACTCAAGCTTGCACCCCGGTGATGTGGGAAATCCTTCCTTTTCGCACTGCAACGCCAAGAGAACACTCGGAACTGTGCCTCATGAGCTCCAGTGACTCCAGTCAAGATTCTGCTTGTAGATCTGTAGATGCGATATGAAGGACACCATCCATGAAGTCGCTGTTTTGCTGCGGTTTGCTTCGCTCTACCTTGCCATGGACATTCACGGATGGATACAAAGCAAGGGAATGCTAGGGGCAAGTTCTGTTTGAACCCTTTAAAGCCTTGACATCCAGATCATCCAGGGACTAGGTGTCCTTGCTTTTTCTTGCTGATCCTGTAGAACGAGCCAACTGCTTAGGTGAAGGTGAAGAAGAAGGCTATGGCGATGAATTCTAATTCGTCTCACGCAGAGTCCGGGAAGAAGAACTTCCCGGACGATCGCTGGCACTACCAGCAGTGGGATCGCGGGGGGAAGAAGAGCTGCGGAACGAGCGCTGGGGACTCGAAGGACCTCCCCAGAACCAATCACACATACTTGATCAATCTTTATCAATCTTGTGAAGATGTCCATCTGTATCCATTTGCATCATGCTTTATGAATCGGTTTTCAATGCTTATGAATCGATGTTCAAGTGCGAATGCTTCATGACCCGGTCAGTGAGTCGGATATGGTTTAGGTGAGTCGGTCTCCACGGTCTCCACACGTTTTCCGTCGGAGTCACGTGGAGTCACGTGAGATCGCCGGTCAGACGCGGTCACCCAGAGTCAGTCACCTCGCTGGCAGTGCTGGATCCTAGATCCAAGAGTTGTTCTTTTGGGGGAACATCTACAGGAAACCCATGTTTTTTTGGGGGGGATGGTCAAAAACAACATGGTTTCCTGTATAGATGTTCCTTCAAACCATCTCAAACCCATCTCCTGCGATTGGACGTCTCGTTGGGTGGTGGGGTGAGCGATCCAATGATCCTGGTCTCAGGTGCCTGGACCCCCGGGTACGAACCGGTGGACCTTGTACCCAGTCCCTAAACCTGGGCTGCAACCATCTCAGAAGATGGTTAGACTCCCCCCAACCCACCCTGGCAGGGTTAGACTCCCTGGTTAGACTCCAAACCCCACCCTGGTTAGACTCCCCCAACCACACCCTGGCTGTGGTCCCCACAATCCAATCAGTGTTTTGTTTTGTTTGTCTTCTCCGGGTCGAACTTCTCACCGGCTTCTCCACCGGCTTCTCGACCGTCAGGCCCTGCGCGATGAAGACCGCGACCAGGCGAGCTGCGGCGTTGTGCGTTACCGCACTGTGCGCGAGTGAAAGTGATAATGTATAGATATACTGTATATGTATTGGGCATGTGTGATGATATATGATATATATATATATACATATACGTATTGGATGCATGTGTTTGGGGGAAGGTGTACCCTTTTCAATGGATGTACAGAGTATGAATCCGTATCGCGTTGAACACACACAATTTTATGGGTCGATGTTGAAAAAACAGGACCCGTGTTTGGGAGGTCGCTACATCGGTCCAGTATCCGGGGTCCATAGGAATACAACCTGTGGTATGGATGTGTGTAGCTAGGGAGACCGACCTCCTAGGCGTTCCGACTTTCTGGGAGGTTCGGAACCTAGACCGGTCGACCCAGTCAGGGCGAATGGGATCTCCTTATTCCAAAGACGCACCCAAACCTGGACGCCCATGGCATGGCAGCAAGTTCTATTCAAGAACTTAGGATGTACATGGAGGTTTTCAGAGGTTTTGATATGTTTTGATTCAATATGGCAGTGGAACAAAAACCCCCACCAAACCATGGAAGGTTGATTAGCCCTTAATGGAGGAATGACCAGGTAGCTGGAATCCCACGTTTGTCGACTACCCATGGGCAGTGAACCCCAAGTCCGCCCATCACTCATTCGTCACTTGCCAGCAACTGCTGAGTGGCGTAACGGCGTGAACTCTCAGGAATAAGGGTGGGTTGACCCCCCTACTGCAGATACCTTAGGATCCAGCCACCCTCATGCCTGGCAACTCGTTGCACCCATCAGACTGCAGGCAGGCTCCTATTTCCCATACTTGCGCATGCTCTTTGAGGCTTGCGCCAGGTGCGGCGAGTCAAAGCGCCGGTGGGATGGAGACTGTTCCGTCAGTTTCTGGGGCAGGTCACGGACCGAGCCAACATACGCGAGGTGGTGTATTGACAAATCTTGCGCCTCCTGTCCTACTATACGGACTCCTGGATCAATGAATGTGGACGCTTTAAACAATCAAATGGAGCAGCTTGAACGAAACCCTCCAGTGTTTTCAGACTGAAGCAGCTTCGATTGTGAGCACAAACCGACTTCACGGTGTCATCCACCGTGTCATCCTTTGAGATGAAGGACCCAAGCACCGACGATAGGAAGGAACAACTGCACCATCCGCCTTCAGTCTGGATGCTGCATGCCTTCAGTCTGAATCTTCCACTCAAGTCATCAAGGTGTAGGACATGGTCCCGCAGCCCTTCTGGTCCCGGACGCTGGACTCGGCACCGGAACCAGCACGGGACCCGTCTCGGCACGGTTCCACCGGTCGCAGGCTTCCGATCCGCGAAGTGACGTTGTGGCGTGGGGTCGGCGTGGACCTTTATGAGCAGTACAAGGTTGGGGGCAACTGGTGGGAAGGGGCGACCTGCACCGGACACGGTGCCCAGCCGGAAAGACCGGAACCATGCGAAGGGAAGGACAGAAATGAACCATGCGAAGGGAAGGACAGTCTGATGGTGCCTGATGATTTGGGGGCGAAAGGCTTCTGGGTTTGATGACATCGATGTAAGCTTCTTGTCAGATTCTTGGAAAGTTGTTCGTGGATTTCTGGTGCGGTATGCCACGTTTGGCTAGAAGGATACGAATCATTCATGGAAGAAGTGACGTTGGGTGTTCAGGAAGGATACCGTTGTTTTCTCGGATCCATGACTTGAAGTTCGGATGAAGTTCGCATCCATGGCTTTGTCATGCTTCGGTCACTTCCCCTCGGATCTTTTGGCCTTGGATCTTGACCCACGTGACACACAGAGTGTCCACCATAGATGGCCTTTTACTATTGATTCATACAGAGGATACCCGCTAGTTGGTGTACAACCAATAGGTAAATGGTATACGTACCAAACCGACCCATCTATTCTTCCCAAAAGGACACCACTAGTGTCCACGCACTTCTCCCGCAGCTCGACTCACCGACGGTCAGGGCCGCCCCCGTCCGATCTCCCAGTGACTTCCCGGTCGGCCGGTCGAGCGCTCGCGCTCGCGCAGGTGGGCAGCACCATCACTTGGTGGGGCGTCTCCAGCTGCACCTCCGACAAAGCGGTGGCTTGGGCGGAACGGGTTCAGCGGTTCACGGAACGGAAAAGAACAAAAGAGTGGTGGTGGCTGTTGTTTCCGCGTTTAGTTGCTTTGATTTTGTTTGTTTGCATGTCCGTTGAAGAAAAGCTGCGCAGCTGAATCAGCTGCTTCCTTTGTTTTCCGCTGTTGAAGGTTCTGCACCAATTAGTGCTGCCATGGCGCTTGCTATCCTCTTACTGCTCGCTGCCTGCTACCTGCGAGCGTACCTACGCTCGGGTGTCCCGTGGCTGTCATGTCCGCTTTTTTCCTTGAGTTTCTATCCTCAGCGTTCCTTGGGTTGTTTGTTTGACCTTCCTCAAATCATCAAGGATACTATCCTCAAACAAACAGATCAACAGGGAGTCTCCTAACTTACTATCCTATCAAAGGCTTTGACTGGAAAACCAGCTGCTTCTCGGTTCACACCGCTGCGTCCTTCTCGGTGAACACACCGCCGCTTGCCGCGCCGCTCGCTCCGCTTCCTTAGGTGGCCCACAACTTCGCCAACGGATGTGCCGGAGCGTTGGGATCCCAGGATACGAGAGACGAGCGTGGTGGACGAGGTGCGGGTTTTGCATGCTCCGCAAATGCGACTCATGGGACTGCCATAAGACTGCCGATCAGGCCAGGGGTGGTTGACTGGGGGGTCAATGTCATATATATGGCAGTCCCATGGAGTGTCTGGATACTGATCTTTTGCGGGCTGGAGCATCACAGGATCACGAAGAGATAGGCCGGCATGAGCGGCAGAGTCGTGGTTTGATGGGTGGCGGAGTCAGGATTAAAAGATAGCACAAAGGCTGGTGCGATGCATGTGTTTCTTTAGCATCCTGACAGACAGGCATGGAAGATGAGGATGTCCTCATGTCCTCCATGCGTTCTCAGAGGGTTTGATGTGGATATCCCTAGGGATAGGAAAGCTTCGGTCGAGCCACCCTGGATCCTTAGCGTGAACTCTCTTGATGGGTCATGCAAGTGTCTACCCCAATGCGCTTCGATACCTCGAACCCGGTTGCAGTGTAAATCAGAGGAATGGATGTCAAGACTTCCTTTCCCCCCAGCGTGGTCATGCCGGCGCATGCCCGACTAAAGCTCCCTTCGCCACGGGGCACTGGGCAAGAATTCCCCAAGCATGCCGAAGCTGGAATGCCAAGAGATCCGAATCTCAACACCCAAACCCACACCGACCCCTCGATTTATACGTTTGGCAGTACGTTCGGCGAAACAACACAAATTTCAGTCGTTTGCCGTCAAAAACGCTGTTTCATTTCAATCCAGCCGTTTCGATGTTTTTGCAGAGGTTGCCAAATTAGCAGTCGGCAAAAGTCGCCGTTTGGTCGGGAAAAGTTGCCGTTTCAAAACCTTGACTTACCATAGAAAACATGTCAATGCAAAAAGTGCTTCAGGACAAAATAGTGTGCGTTTGCTTAACAAAAAAACAGTTTTGGATTGAAAAGGCAGAAAAAAAGGCATAGTTTAGCTTGATTTAAAACATATGTGAGGCTTATGTTAGCTGTGCCAGCAACGTGGTGAACACCCTATATTGAACATGCGAGCGCGCAGGTGTGCAGGCTAATGCGCGGGCCAGCGCGCGGGCGAGCGCGCGTGCGAGCATGTGAGCGCGCGTGTGAGCGCGCGGGTGAGCACGCAGTGAGTGCACCGGTGATCATATCAGCGTGCGAGTGAGAGCTCTTCTGCGCAGTTTGCTTTGTGAATGAATGTTTAATTTAAGATCATGGACTGTCCGTTCTTTGCATGAGTCAATGAGAGCATGAGAATGCTGTTGGACACATTGCGTTTCCAAAACCCAAAGACAATGGCAAATCCATGCAAATCCACTTGCAGCCTGATTAGCCTACAACCTACCTCTAAGATCCTCCAAGTGTTGTTCAGAGTGACACCTGCTGTGCAGTTTGCTTATGTTTGCTCGCTTTTTGTTTTTTTGTTTTGGGGGGGGGGGCGACGTCTCAAGGTATGGGAATGAATCGGGATGCCATGAATGATAAGGACACAGACTAGACAAGGTAGCTTTATTTACAGTAGTAGAAGAGTCGTAGTTTAGTAAAAACGACTATATCATATATATCATATCATGAATATTAGATATGTACAGTTTGCCTCAACGATGCGTTTGATGTTGAGGGTTCTTCTTTTAGTGAGTAGGCATATCTATAGACTAGACTATTACTATTGACTATTGACTATATATAGACTATAGACATCTATAGACTATAGACAGTCATCATATACTGTACTAATATAGACTGTGAAAAAATCCAAACACCAAAACACCGACAAAACCCTCTAGCAGCAAGCCATGCGATGGAGCTTTCCCTCCAAGCCTTGGATTCGATCGGGGCGGACTTGGATGCTCTAGAGAAGAGCAGCAGGAAAGCCAGTTTCTTGATCGATGTTACATTTTTGTGTGTACACAAGACGACAATAAAGACAAATTGTATTTTTGGATAGCCTGCCTGCATAGCAAACACTGTTTGGCCTAGTCAAAGATATGTGTTGAGTTACTATGATTCGATGATGACTCGATGATATGATTCTAGATAGTTTTTGTTGACTAGACCATGGGTTTTTGCCGCAAGGTTCGCAGACCAACAGAGAAGCTGCAGAGCCTTACCAAACAAGGCCAGGCTGCCTAAATAACACTCGTTCCCACAAATTATCAGTTAGCAGAACCAAAGTTTGCTAAATAATTGAAATGAAAGTTAGAAGGGATAATGTTGAAATGATTCCATATCATATGATTCCATATCATATCATATGAGTCTGAGTTATTTATCCTGATGTGGACCAATATATTTGGGTGGGTAGATGACTGATATCATAGTCTGATATGAATGGACATGATTCATATCATGTTCAGAATCATACAACTTACTAAACTGAGTTGGCTTCATTGCAGGCGGCTGGCAGTCCGTTACTTGAAGCACCACGCGGTGAGGGAGCGCGACGTGACCGACAGAACGGCAGGCAGCGGCTCTTGGAAGAAGTGGCTTCCCAACGCTATGTTGAGAGCAGCGAGCCCTGGTCAGGACTAAAGTACAGTAAATAACTCAGATGCGCAATGGTACCATTGAGAGTAAGACCACAAGGCCCGCTAATCACTAGTACCGTACTACAGCACGCCAGTAGTAAAAATAAGTACTTACTTGCTAAACTTACTATGAATTGATTGATAGAACACTAGTAGTGCTGTAAAGTATACTACTTGGAACGATGTAGGCGACTTTGTCTACTTCCTTGCAGCGAGCTTATACATTGTTTGTATAACAACTAGACTGTGACTATGACTATTGTGATGACTACGATAGACTATAACTTTAACTTTATAGCTTAAATTCTGTAACTATCTAGTCTATAACTATAATATTCTCAGTTTTTGTCCGCTCCACACAACAGACTCGAATTCATAAGTGCTTGATGTCAAGGGGATTTATTGTTGCGGAAGAGCATAGCTGAGCGCATTGGATCTGCATTTGAATGCTCGTTGATTGTTCGATTGCTCGTCCAAGGTTTGGTCATTCAACGTTGAGTGCCACCAAAACCAATCGCCAATCAGTTTCGCCAACCATGTTCTCCGCTTCTAGCTTGGCTTTCTGGATGCAGTCCAGCCACACCTTTGTTTCAAAGGTAACTTGGACTGGTCAGAAGTATGAATTGAAGGGCTTGGAGGGCTCAGTAGAATTTGTTGAATTGATGTGGGCGCCTCCTCTTGCATCCTATGATTGTCTGTTCAATATCGATTCCGGTTCAAAGTTTCAACATGCTCTAAGAGCTCTAACATGCTGCATTGAGGATAGAGAGGCTTCTAAGGTGGTTCATGATATTTATAAATATATATATATATTATATTTATATATATATACATGAGAGGTAGGCATCACTCCTTCAAGGAATGAGAGGTGGCATATATCGAGTAGGGCAAACAAGGAGATAAGATGGGATAAGTTCTCTCATGTTCTTTTACTGATCTGAATCGACAGTCTTTTCAGGTTCAATGTCTCGTTGCCAGATGTTTCACGCACTGCCAGACATATTGGTGCAAGTCACTTCAAGCTTGCATATCCCGTGCACGCCCTACGGACACGAGTGAGCAGCCTACGATTTGCAAGCTACACCTTGAATTTGATGAGACATCGGAAATGCAACGGGTGAAACTTGGTCTGATGTCCACTAGTGCCATCTTCAGCGTGTTGGTTTCCCGGCTCTTTTCTGATACATGATGTGTATGCTGTATGCTAGTTTTTATGGTTGGATGATAGTTTGGATGATAGATGAACTTGGTTGAATCACAGGGTGTCAGCGACATTGATGATTTTGAGTTATGAAAGACATTGACATAGAGTTGATTGATTGACTGCAAACTGAAGGTTCAGCGGAATACTCTTATTGTGCGAAGTCGAGATGGTGAGTTCTCGTGGCTTTCTTTATGTTTGTTTTTTGTTGTTTGTCAGCGGTATCATTGTTTGTCCTTGAACTTCAAAAGGCCGGAGGCCGGACATGACAAGACAATTCAGGCATATGCCTCTGCTGTGCTGCCCAGCAGCCCTGCAAAAAACTACTGCTGGCGGAATCTGGGGCGGCATTGTATCAAAACAACCAGTTCACCCATTGAGCTCCTTGTTTGCAAGATGGTTTGAGACCTGAGATTGTAGTAGAGTATGTGATATGTATGTCGGCATGTGACATGTGTGACTGTGACTGTGGTCAAGACAGTATGAGCGGAGCTTGTTTTATTAAAAAAATCAATTCACGAAAGATTCATGAAACCGCATGCGACGTGAAGTAACATCAGAGTCAGGAACATATCAAGTGACCCCAACAGAATAAATAAAAGTGACATGCTTCAGGCTGGTGCCAAACAGCAGATATCTTTGTCCTAGCTTTCTGCTCAGACTGCGCGCCAGCAAACATGAAGATGGTCAGATACATATCCAGGAATTTGCCTGGCAACAGCCTTTTGACCCACCACCCTTGCAACGCGCTTCTTGGCAAAATGCTGATGGTTGAGTCCTAACCCTGAAATTAAACCATAACGACTATGAGGCTATGAGTCATGCAATCTTTGGGTTCCTTGCTCAGGCATGAGTCTCATCATTGCGTTGAAGACGTCTGGAGAGGTATGAACATCAACCCACTGTGGCTTGATTGATTGAATTCAATTTTTTTGTTTGTGGCCCGTGGCGGTAGTTCGTTGTTCAGGAGTCAGCTTGAGAGGGTCGGGGTTCCCACTGTAAGGTTTTGCACGTGCAGAGTCTTGGGATATGGATCAACATTTTATGATCTAGTTGTACACTGCGCGGAGTACATCAGAAAGAACATGAAGGTGGTCTACACACCCAGCAACCCAGAGCACATAAAGTATGCCAAGAAGATCTTGGATATGACTATGTCTGTCCGGATTGCAAAGCTGAAGTATTGTGTAGATGAGTCAGGCAACATGACCCATACAAAGAAGATATCTTTATTGCAACAGAAGGTAGACATGTTCTTGGCCATATTCAATT